CCCTCCTTGGGTTTCCGAGGCAGTATCACTACGGAAGTAGGATTGCCCAACCTTCCTTCCAAGGAGTGGCTGGTGGGTTTGAACCTCCAGCCTTCCGGTTAGCAGTCAAGTGCTTTAGCCACTATGCTACCAAGAGTACACTAGAGCAGGTTAATCTAAAGATATATAAACAAGGACTAACTGGAACAAATGGAGTAAATATCTTTAGTCTCATTCCATCTAAATGTGCAGCACCTAAAACCACTTCTCTTCCACTAGCACTTCCAAGCACCCACTCCTTCCTACGTACAAACATCAGCAAGCCCCTCCGGTGCTGCTTTAATGTTTGTTCACCTCTATCCTCCATGATGGTCTGGCTTAATACTGCCTTGGAAACAAAAAGCTGCCAAAGAACCTAGAAGACATCTATCAACTGCTGCTGTAAGGGAGCAAAGAAGTTAGCATATAAACAGCACTTTATCTTTTTAAAGCCATTTCATGTACTCTTTTTCCAACAAATTATTACAACAGAAATATTATCTTCCCTATTCTCTAAACAAAGACTCAAAAAAGCATCAGAGTTAGGTGAAGTTCATCAGCCTTGAATGTGAATTCCCTGTTCTGCTATATACCGGCTGTGTGATCTTGACCAATTTATGTACCTTCTCATCCTTGAGAAAAATAATATCTACCTCACTGGCTATTATGAGTATTAAATGGGATACTACATATAAAGAGCATGACACAGGAAATGCTCGATAAGGACAGTAACCTTCCCTATAGTCTCCTTAAGTAACCTGTACAAGATTTCTTAACTAGTAAGCCGGTAAGCCTAAGACTTAAACCCAGGCCTCCTGATTCCTTAATCTATTTTCTTTTCATCACATCACATTGGCAGGCTGCCACACACTACTAGACTCATAAATACTTTCTGACAACAATTGATCACACAAATTTTATCTTTTACCGGTAACTAATCTTAGCTTTATAAAAAGAAAAGAGATCTAATTAACTTGGAGGGGAGAGTGAAAAGATAAAATACAAATTATTCCTAAACCACAAGACAAGTTGTACCACAGAACTTCTGTACAAACAGAAATTATGACAAGAAACAGAAAGTTCTCTTTGGGTTTATGAGGAACAACTGGAGAAAGAAACAAGAATGACAATGATTAAAGGAACTTAAGATTTTTTGTTTTTATAAACCAAACCACTGAGCAAAAAAATTTGCATCCCATTCCAAAATAACTCTATCAAGGCTGAGACATATCTTGGAAAAACAGACCTTGGTGTGCCACCAACAAAACTTTTCCTTCAATTCCTTTGAGAGGCAAATGCTCTATAATAATATAGGATCAAACCAAACTCACTGCCATTGAGTCAATCCCGTCTCACAGCGACCCTTCCTTGGGTTTCCGAGGCGGTATCACTACAGAAGTAGATTGCCCAGTCTTCCTTCCAAGGAGTGGCTGGTGGGTTTGAACTGCCAGCCTTCTGGTTAGCAGTCAAATGTCTTAGACACTACACCACCAGAGTGAGATAAATAGTAGACTTAAACTGTTAACATTCACAAGGATCCTTGAACACCACAAATGTCTGACTCAGCATTAATAAGCAGCATAAAGGAATACGGTCAAAAGAAGAAAAGTTTCACGAGTTTCCCAACACATACTGAAAATATTTTGAAAATTATACAGTGTAAAAGTGTAAGCTGTTATTTCTGTTAATAAATAACATAATAACTGTTTTCAAGGAATACACATAACTAATCTTTTTTCAAGTGATATATATAACTTCTTCCAAGCCAAATTCTAGAAGATACTCAAAAGAAACTAGCATCTTCAAGAATCTCTAAGAACTTTCTTACTAATAGTCCAACCACATTATGAACCTGTATATTTCTGAAAGGAAACTGAAGAAGAGAGCCCCAATCTGACACTGACAGAACGAGATTGATCAAGTAAGTTAAAAGGTGAGTGAATTTCCATCATAAAGTAGAGGAGAAGGGGATAGACATTGATAAACTCTATCCCTGTAACCCCCATCACCAAATTTATCCCCCTCGATTCATCTTCAACTTTTTCATTATTTTCTACAGAAACATAACAAAATGTCCCTAATATTTCTTCGTGACACTCATAGCAATCTCCACTTTTTATTTAGCAATTTTTAGACACCACTAAGATACAACCTAAGGAGCTCTGGTGGCACAGTGCCTAAGGTGCTAACCAGAAGTTTGGCGATTCAAACCCACCAGCCACTCACCATAAGGAAGACAAGGCAGTCTACATGGGGTTTGTTTTGTTTTTGGAAGATACTACATGAAACTCTAAATTCTATACAGAACCTACCAATCAATAGTGGATAATGTGGCTTCCCTCTCCAAATTCTTTCCTCTGATTAAGTTCTCTTATACAATAAAGCCTTCTTTTTCAAAGAACATACATTCTTAGCCTAACTTCCCAATCCAGATTCTCCATATAGTCTGGGGGCTCTTCATTAATCCTTTTCTGGGAGCACTGAAGTCTTGGTAACTAGAAAATCACTCGTAATCCAAAGGGCCTTTCATCTAAATCTTGCTGACCTCACAAAAATATGTGAGGAAAAAAAAAATCTTTCCAAAACTCACATGAGAATTCTAAAATTGGCCAGGGTCACAGACTTGTATGATTTCCATCCCAGGACCAGGAATTTAGTCTGTTCTCCCTTAAAAGCAGTCTCCTAATGATTCTACATACTGTGGAAACTTTTCCAACCTACATTGACCTCTATGCTGATTAATTTTTCCAACAAAAAAGTTGCACAAATTAGGATTATAACACCCAATGTAATGAAAATAAAATGGTTAAGGATACATAATTCTCCAAATTCCCCAAGTTTTAAAAGAAATGTAGTAAAGTTTCCAAAATGTTAACCTTCAATTTAAGTACCTCAGAATGTGACTGACTCTTACATGCAGCCTTTTTACCAGGAGTACATGCAGTGAGCTCTGGTGGTGTAGTGGTTAAGGCACTTGGCTGCTAACCGAAAGGTCGGTGGTTTGAACTCACCAGCCACTCCACGGAAGAAAGATGAGGCAGGGCGAGGCAGTCTGCCTCTCTGCCTGAGTCCCAACTGACTGGATGGTAGTGAGTTTGGTATTTGGTTTGCATGCGGTGACCACCAATCAAACATGACAAAACTATTCTAAATGGGACTCCTTGGGTTTCCTTTGGATACTTCCCAGAAAGCAAACTCTCACAAAGACAAACATTTGATTTCAAAATCTTGACCATCCTCTGTCAGATACCATAACTGAAAGACTTCTATTAAAGACAAGCCAAGGGGAAGGAGGACAAAAAAAAAAGCATCAACCAGAAAGCAAATTGGACAGCGAAGAAAATGATCTAATCTAACAAGAAACACAGATAAACTATCATTGCTACTCTTGCTAAAATAATAGATTCGGAAAAGCAAAACCAGCCAAAAGATCACATGGTCTTTTTACTTCTGAAGTCACCAGTGACAGAATCTGTATTCCTAGGAAGGAGGGACGACAGACAATCCAACGACAAATCACAGTGTGCAGACTAACTGGTAAAACGGGGGAGAAAAAAAAAGTGACTTACGGTGCCTTTAAAGATCTGCCGGGGATATGGGGAAAAGTCACGTCTCAGACCTCAGCCTCAGTTTCCCTAACCAAAAAAGGCGAGAAAATGACACTTCACTCAGAGGAGTCGGAGGGCCTTGTTCCACACGCCTCCTCCTACTCAAGGATCCCTTCAAAAGGTGGACTCAGAGGGGGTCCCCAGTACAATTCAGTCATGACACTCGGAACCTTAGGAGAGGGGAAAAGGAGAAAGGGGAGTGTCAAAGCGCGCAAATCTTCCACCGTTCCTGGTAAGCGATTTTCCCCCGACACAGGCGGGGCGGACACCGACCCTAGACCCAACATCCCCTCCTTACCGAACTACACCAGGCAGCCCCAGAATCTCTCCCTCCTTCCGGCTTCTCCTTCAGTTCCCTGCCGCCCCTCTGGCCGCGCCCCCGAACGCAGCCCGACAGCCCCTCCTCTGGCCGTGTCTCGGCCGCGGGTCCGCCCGCCCACCCGCTGGCGCCAAGGTCTTCTCAACCCCGAGGCCGAAGGATGCCGGGCTGGGCCTCCCAGGCTCCTCCCGGGCCTACCTGCAAGGCAGCTAGGGGTCGGCTTGCAGCTCGGCTGGCAGGATGAGCCTCAGAGAGGAGGAGAAAATAGGCAGGAAGGAAGCAGGGGGTCTGCTCTACCAACCGACGGAAGAAAGCGGCCTGAGTAAGGGGCCTCGCGGGTAACTCAGCCCTAGACCGGGCGCCGCCACCGCTCAGAAGACATCAAGCAAGAAGACGGCGCAAAAGATCACCAAACACACGAACGCCCAGACATTAATGGAGGAGCACCAAAACAATCGTTCAAGGCACTATAGCCGAGCGCCGATAAACAGTTTGGCTCCTTCTCAAGGTCCGGCTTCTGTCCAAGACATAAATAAACAAGCCCAGATCCCAAGCCAGGTAGTAAAGTAGCCTGTGCTTCTGCCATTTTCTGTGTCGATTGCCGGCAGATTAAGTTGTTTAGAGATCTGGAGATTTTCTTGAGAATGTTAAGGATCAAATCATAGTGCCGTAACACTTGCCTAACTGTAGTTCATCTCCACAGTTGGACTACTTTATGAACTTCCAACAGTATTTATCCCAATTGAGCAAATCACCTCTTTTGACCCTTAGTTTTCTCACAGAGCAATGAGATGAATAAATAGTCTTTGAGATCTCCAGCTCTAACATTCTGTGATTACAGGGCTTTCCAGTAATACAATCATTCACCAAATATGTGTGTGTGTGTGTGTGTGTGCGCGCGCGGGGGGGGGGGGGAGAAAGAGAGAGAGAGAGATTGTGAATACCGGCAGAAACAAAATAAATAATCTCAATGAAAGCCCCTAAAGGAGCTCTGGTAGCATACTGCCTAAGGCATTTGGCTGCTAACCGAAAGGTTGGTGGTTCAAACCCACCAGCCGCTGGGCAGAAGGAGAACTGGGCAATCTACTTCCATAAAGATTTACTCCCTCAGAAACCCAAAGGAATCGCTATAAGTCAGAATCAAGTGGGTGACAGTGAGTTTGGTTTTTCTGGTTTTGAGGTATTACTGCACTTGGAAAAAGGGAGTTACAACCTTATTATTTATTATTAGTTTCTAGTGCACATAGGAGCTCTGGTAACGTAGTGCCTAAGGCACTTGACTGCTAACCAGAAAGCTGGCGGTTCAAACCCATCAGCCACTCCTTGGAAGGAAGATGGGGCAAACTACTTTGGTAGTGATGCTGCCTCGGAAACCCAAAGAGTCAGTCCGACTCCAGGGCATATAACAACAACAACAGTGCACATAAGGGAGCTCTGGTAGCATAGTGCCTAAGGCATTTCATTTGACTGCTAACCATAAGGCTGGTGGTTCAAACCCACCAACCACTCCTCAGATAGAAGATTGGGCAATCTACTTCTATAGAGATACCGCCTCTAGGAAACCCAAGGAGGGGAGGGGTCGCTATGAGTCCAATCAACTTAATGGTATCAGGAAGTTAGCCCACATAAACAGATAAAAAGAGTAACTTAGTATGGAAATGCATTCCTTGGAGCAATTGACCACAGAGCACCAGAGGGCAACATTCACACAGACGAAATGCGAAATGCGGGACAAACTGGAGTGCAGAACTATGGGGGGCCGTTACTGGGCAGGGAGGGGAGGAGACTGGGCTAGGGTTGGGCATGGTAAATGGGAGTGAAACTAAATGTACACGGAATGTTGAATGTAAAACAAACTCTTAATTAAAAAAAAAAAAAAGAGTAACTTAAGGAATGTTGGGAGTCCTTGAGTGGTGCCAACACTCAACATTTAAGGATTAATGATTAAGCACTCAACTACTAACCAAAAAGTTGAAGGTTCAAAGGCACTTTGGAAAATAGGCCTAGCAATCTGCTTCTGAGGGGACAGGAAACCCTATGGAGCAGTTCTACTCTACACATATGAGATTGCCCTGAATTGGAATTGATTCTACAGCAACTAACAACAATAACAAGGAAGGAGGGGTTTATTTCTCTGTCATATAAAAGATATCCAGAGATATACCCCTTAGAGTAGGTATAGTGGCTCAGTATCAGACACCAGGCTCCTTATCTTGTTGGTTTGCTGTTCTCAAAATGTGGCTTTCATACCACAGATCCAAGGTGTCTACTCAAGCTCCAGCCATCATGTAACATTCCAACAAGCTAGCCACTCAGGAGGAAAAGCATATCTCCCAGCCGGATGGACACATCTTGAAAGTAGCACAGGTCACCTCCACTTTTATCTCCTCACCAGGATTTGATTACATAGTCACACCTAAATGTAAGGCATGCTCGGAATTAGTCTTTGTCCTGGGCAGCCACGTACCCACTGAAAGTCAAAGGCAAAGGGATGCTGGGTGACTATTAAACAAGCATTCTCTGCCCCATTCCTGGAGCCAAATAAGGAGCTTGCAAAGACAGCTTTCTTTGCAGTCTTCCCAGGTGGTTTCCATTCCTAGAATACATACTGTAGGTAAGTGTCTTTTTTTTTGAGAGTTTTATAGGACATAATGTCTAGAGCTACATCCCTGATTCAAATTTTACCCAAATTACTACATTATTTTGAAAGCTATTGTAATAAAAACTAAAGAAACTGATGTCAAGACTATGGTAAGTTTTTGTTTTTTCAAAAGTGTTTGTTGTTCTTAGGTGCCATTGAATCAGTTCCAACTCAGAGAGACCCTATTCACAACAGAACAAAGCAATGCCCAGTCCTGTGTCATTCTCACAATCATTGCTGTTTGAGCCCATTTTTGCAGCTACTGTGTCAACTCATCTCCTTGAGGGTCTTCTTTTAGAAAGATTATTTATATAGGAAAAATTCCCAGAAGAATTTAACAACTACACCACCAGAGCTCCTTTTTAAAAAAATTTTTTATTGTGATTTGGGTGAAGGTTTACAGAGCCAATACACCCTCCATACATCAGCTCACATACACTGTCTCACAACATTGACTATAATTTCCCACAATGCAATAGCTCCCCTCCCACTTCCTCCCCATAGTTACCTCTTCCGTGTCCTTTCCTCCCATGTACTCCTGCCCCCCAAGCTGTCTCACTGTGCATTTACAGCCCTTCTATTCTCCCATGATTGATCTCTCCAAGGAGTATATCTACCTAATGTAACTGTTCAGCTCATATGCTTGTCTTTTGTTTGGCTGGAAGACACAACAGTGGGTTCAATTCTAGATCTGAAGGGCAGTTGGGGCCATAGTCTCAGGAATTCCATCAGACTCTATTAGACCAGCAAACCTGGTCTTTTTGTTTTGTTTTGTTTTAAATGATTTTGAGTTTTGTTCCACATTGTTCTCCTACTCTATCAGGATCTCCTACATAGATCCCCCTCTGAGTGGTAGCCAGGCACCATCTAGTTCTTCTGGTCTTGTAGTTGAATAGGCTGAGGATCACATGGTGTACGAGTCATTTGGACTAATTGTTTCCATGTGTCTTTGGTTTTCTTCGTTCTTCTTTGCTCTGGATGAGGAGAGACCCATCGTGGCATCTAGATGGCCGCTTGCCAGCTTTTAAGATCCCAGTTGCTACTCCCCAAAGTAGGATGTGGAACAATGTTTTTATGTAGTATGTTATGCCAATTGACAGAGCTCCTTTTCAAAGCTAGACTTTTATTCTGGGAAAATTCATGCAAATGTAAATCTAAAATCATCAAATGGATGATTTAAAAAGTGGAGATATTTGAGAAACTGAGCCACTATGGAGCTGTACTGCTCTGTGAGATCATGGAAAAGACAGCTACTTCTGCAGGTAGAGCTGCATCCCTACAGATGAATTTCCTTTAAAGAACTGTTTCTTTCTAAGTGTAGACTTAAGCTTCAGTGTGACAGCAAACTACTGATTGTTCTTATGGAGAAGTCTATGTGGATCAACATGTTGTCCCCCAGGGATCAGGAGATCGCCAAACCTACAGGCAAGTCCCCACACTGAAGGAAGAACGGTAAAACAAAACCAGGTGGGTAGAAATAAAGATCATCCTGGACTGTACTGCCGTTATGTGCCATCGAGTTGGACCTGACTCATAGTGACCCCTCCTTGGTTTTCCATTTCTGTAATTTCATTACAGAAGTGGATTGCCCAACCTTCCTTCCACTAGTGCCCTAAATATTGATGTTCAGACTCTACCTCATTATTGTGTTATTATAATATTCTAACAGGATTCTCCT